TTCCCCAAAAAAAAAAAAAAAAAAAAAAAACTGCAGCCTCCGGTACTGCAGGAATAACCTACTCCAATAAAACAGGCTTATTGAAAATGCACATTAATTCTCTGCCAGCAGGAGGCGCTTTTGGAACGGCAGAAATAGAACCCCAGTTTCCCCGGTAACGGAAGTAAACAAAGCAGGCAGCACCGGACCCTGAAACGTGCAGCACTCATGTTTATTTAACAAAATCATAGCCTTTTGAAGTTTAATCGTCACATTAAGCTGTATCGCAATTCTGGTCTTTCCGTCCCCAAATTTAATACCTTCTGAAATCATAATTAAGACTTTCTTGTACAATTTTATGGCCTTAAATTTGATACCACTAAATTTAAGACTTTTTAAGGACCCATGGGAACCCTGTAAGATCTATTCAAAAAGAAAAGTTTTTTTTTTACTTGTAATAATATTTCACAATATTAGTGTTTTTACTGTATTTTTTATCAAATAAATACAGCCTTGGTGAGCAGAAGAGACTCTTTCAAAAACATTAACCCCAAAACTTTTTAACGGTAATGTATATAAATAATAAAAGATTATGCATATTTCACAAAACTACGAGCAGAACTGACTTGGACTCTTCTCCTCCACCAGGTCACAGGCACACAGCAGATCCGTGTCGATGGAGATTGGCTTCTGTCGGATCCAGAACTTTGTGCTTGTCTTCTGATTGGTGACAGGATCGATCTCGACCTTTTCACCAGAAATTCCTGGAAAAGTGAGGTGGTTTTATCTTAAAAATCACTTATAGATGCATTTCAACTGTCTGTTTTTATCAAAAGAGTTTACATAAAAACGACGCCCAGGTTTTAAAGATTAACAGGTGTGTGGGTTTATTTCCCTGTTATTTAAATATGAAAGGAGAACCAACCCAGACTGACACTGATTCTGTAGGAAACGCTGTGAGAGAGAGAGGTCTGGATTATTATTACAGGTCTATCTCAGAAGCACACACACACACACACACACACACACACAGTCCATCCATAATGGATGTGACAGCTGTCAATCGTTCACATGACTTAAAAAAAATTGCATGCAAACATCAGTGTTTCAGAAAAAAATTCCAGCCTGTCAATCACAGTGAAATTCCTAAAGAGATTCCCTGGCTCACACAGGCTTCCTGCACCTGGAGCGCTGCTGTAATTGGGATGGAGCTGTGACTGTAGCAACAGTCAAGTGTGCTGGATTTTTTTTTGTGTGTTTTCACAAAATAGGACTGTGTTTGATCTGAAGACCATCTGCCAAACTTTTGTTCATGAGTTGAGTCACGCGCTTTGAGAGGTGGAGAAACTGAGAAGTCAGGAGAAGCAAGGAAGAACTGGAGAGACTTTCTCAAGTCTCTCTCTCTCTTTATATACAGTGGGTACGGAAAGTATTCAGACCCCCTGGGGTCTGAATACTTTCCGTACCCACTGTATATATATATATAAGTCTTAGTTATATTATTTATGTACAATCTTCCATGTTCTAATATAAAAACTATATAACAATTATTGCATAGTAATTTATATATTATACTACATTGTAGTATTCTGTTAATAATATATAGTATTAATATTACACTATAATATAATAATAATAATAATAATATATAAATATTACACTACATTAATCTATGATTAAATGAAAAATTTAGCATGCAATGTTAAAATCTTAGTTGATTTATTTGCATTTTAAAATTAGTAAATGTATATTTATTTATATAATATATAATTTAACAAATATATATTAGTTATTATATATTTCATAAACAAATATAAATTATATATATTGAATATATATATATATATATATATATATATAATAATTCATATGTAATACTAAACTATAATATTTTGTTAATACTATATAATAATAAAATAATATTTACTATGTATGATTGAAGGAATTTTTTTGAATGACACGTTAACATTTTATAGTTTCTATTTGCATTTTTATGTAATTTTATTATTTGTTATTATTGTATACAATAGCATACTTTCCTAAACCATACGTTTAGAATAATAATACAATACAATTACATACTATTATTATATGCTTATATATGCTATATTATACTATTTCATACTACTAACACTACAGTAAAGTACTCTGTTTTGTCCCTCTGAATCTGAAGAGAACTCTTGTATCGGATCTGGATGTTGGGTCTGTGTTTTGGCAGAAGTAGAGCCAGATATTTCATCAATGTAAAATATAGTGATTTATAAACAGTACCTAGCTGCACGTCTGTGGTGAAGCGGAGCTTGTGGATCATGCTGATCTTGAAGGACTTGTAGTGGTGGCTGCTCAACATGTCCTGTACCGTAGTGATGTCTATAGGCGGGTCCTCCTCTGAGCTCTCCTCACCTCGAGAACCTGCAGATGAAGACGGGACGGGATGAAGAAGCAGATGTGTGCGTTACGTGTGCATCTATGCACTTTACATTTAATGTTGCTGTTAATGATGCTCAATAAAGTGCATCAATTTAATTCAATCTAAATAAAAGGAAAAACTCTTCCATGAATGTGAAACGTTCAAAGATCATGTGCTGCAACGGCAGGAGCATCAGAAATGTCTTCAAAACTCACTGTTTTCTCGGACCAAGCAGAACGCCATGGTTCCCTGGCTCTCCAGCGTACTGTCCAAATCCACCGCCACATTCGGATCGGTTTGCTTCTCCAGTCGATACATGGGGCCTGAAACAAATCACACAAACTCTTAGCATTTTATTTGAGCTGTTATGAATTCGGTTTATTTGACTGTGGTTGCACATGATCTACAAAATGCATTTCACTGCACTGGTCGAGCTCAAAGATCATTACAAGCATAATAATATTCAAAGATCATGTGTTCATGCCATTAAACCATTAAAGTGTTTACTTGTTGCAGACACATTAGTAAACCACACATACAACTTTATGCATGTTTGCTATGTGTATTTTATCAATCAAATGATGTAAATTCTCTAAACAAATCACACCTATAAGAGCCCTAAGAGTTTGACATTCTAAAGAAAAACGATTGCAAGAATCATTAATTTGATTCTAAAAACATGCTTAATGTTACATACAAATAAATAAACAATACAGATAAAAATACAATAAATTGACAACATATCTTTCGATCTAGTTGGGTCCACAAACAAATGACTCCTATGAACCGGTTCTTTTAATCATTTTGAATCTTTTATTGAGTTTACTGAATCAAATAAACTCTTGTTTACATGACAGCATAACCAATAATAACTTATAAATATATCTACATTACCATTCAAAAGTATAGGGTCAGTTTCATTTTTAAAGAAATGAATACTTTTATTCAGCTAAGATGCATTAAATTGATCAAAAGTGACAGTAATAATATTTATAATGTTACAAATAATTTCCATTTTAAATAAATGCTGTTCTTTTGAACTTTCTATTCATCAAAGAATCTTAAAAAAACGTATCACTGTTTCCACAAAAAATATGAAGCAGCACAACTGTTTTCAACATTGATAAGAAATGTTTCTTGAGCAGCGTATTAGAATGATTTCTGAAGGATCATGTGACACTGAAGACTGGAGTAATGATGCTGAAAATTCAGCTTATCACCATATTTTAGTTATTATAAACTGTGATATTTCACAATATTCATGTTTTTACTGTATTTTCGATTAAATAAATGCAGCCTTGGTGAGCAGAAGAGACTTTTTTCAAAAATACTACAAGATCTTACAGACCCATGATTTTCCAACAGTAGTGTTGTTTTTTCTTTCTTTCTCATAACATTAATCATCTCTACTATACTGACCTCATATGTACTCTGAACTTTTGAAGAGTTTTATACTGTCATGAGAGAAGGTAGCCATCATAAATGACTTCAGGCTGAGCAGAGCAGTTCAAAAACAAAAAATATGAAGCAGCACAACTGTTTTCAACATTGATAAGAAATGTTTCTTGAGCAGCGTATTAGAATGATTTCTGAAGGATCATGTGACACTGAAGACTGGAGTAATGATGCTGAAAATTCAGCTTATCATCATATTTTAGTTATTATAAACTGTGATATTTCACAATATTCATGTTTTTACTGTATTTTCGATTAAATAAATGCAGCCTTGGTGAGCAGAAGAGACTTTTTTCAAAAATACTACAAGATCTTACAGACCCATGATTTTCCAACAGTAGTGTTGTTTTTTCTTTCTTTCTCATAACATTAATCATCTCTACTATACTGACCTCATATGTACTCTGAACTTTTGAAGAGTTTTATACTGTCATGAGAGAAGGTAGCCATCATAAATGACTTCAGGCTGAGCAGAGCAGTTCAAAAACAATCTGTTAGAGATAATGTGCTGGGATTTACAGCTATTTATAATCTGGCATGATTAATATTGCTCAGTGCAAACAATCTAATTTGACTTTTTATTGTCCAATCAGACGGTATCTACCCATCTAAGACCTAAAGACCAATTAACTCTGACCGATCTTCACAAACCTCTCTCTCTCATTTGGAGAGGTTTGTGAAGATAAGTCAACAACTATTGCCTTGCAGGGGCAATTGACGGCTATAAAAAAAATTTAAAAATTTAAAAATGGCTGTTTATTTCTAGTCAGAAGCAAGAAAAAATGCCCAGAGGCAGGATCAATTCTTTCCCTCATTTGTTTCGCCAGAAAAGAAGGGAAAAAACCAATACAGAGAAGCTGCCAATCTAAACAGGGCAAACACTAAGGGCGATATTTACCCTTTTGCAAATACCATGGTTTTCCAAAATGTCACCAGAGTCTCCGAAAGCTTACAACCTCTACGGAGGAAGAAATATGTTCAAGACAGCCTCCAGCACAATGCGAGATAAAGCAGAACACAAACGAAGTCAACGAGTGTATCCATTCTATACAACACTTCAGTTCTGGGCCTGACGTGCAGGAATGGAAGAAGGAGAGAGCGTCTCTCTGAATCTATGGGAGAAAATGTGACACCGATGAACTGTGACTAATTCAGAAACACACCATCTGCCCTTTTACAAGCTTTCCTGCGCTGATCTCAATGAGCCAAGAGGTTATTTTTATCCATTTTATCATGCGTCAGGTGAAAACTGTTAGTCTGATCACTTAGTAAAGTAACAGCACACCTCTCACTGAAAAGACACATATCAAATTATATTTCATATTTAGAGTTGATCTGCAAATAAATTGTCTAAATCATTTTGTATTTCTAAATAATCCAGAAATAAGGAAATACCGTGCATTAACTGCATTTATTTTATCAAAAATATATTAAAAACAATAATACTGTGAAATATTATTATAATTTACAGTCAGAGTTCCAACACATTTTCCAATTCAAAAATTCCATAAAATTACTTTCAAGACTTAAAATTCCAGACCATATTTCATAATGAAAATCAAATGATTAAGGCTAAATAACAATAAATAAAAATGAATAAATAAATAACAAACATACATTTCATCTGTTATATTTAATTACATTTAATCTGTTATCAAGCTTTAATTATATTTTAATTTTTATTTTGTTTTCTAATTTTAGTTTATTTTATTTACATAAAAATGTGTGTGCGTGTGTGTGTGAGTGTGTGTGTCTACTGGTATATATGGTTTATGACACAAACGTGAATAATGGCATGGGTACTACAACATAAACATGGTTTATGAGGACACTTCCTGTGTCCCTGTAAAACAAAAGGCTTAAAAAAAACCATACAAAACTGTGTTTTATGAAATTCAAAAATTGGCAGTAGTTTTCTGTAAGGGGTAGGTTTAGGTGTATGGTTGGTGTAGGGCGATAGAAAATACAGTTTTTTACCATTACACCTATGAAGAGTCCCCGTAAACCACAAATGCAACTGTGTGTGTGTGTGTGTGTGTGTGTGTGTTTTTTTGCATATTTCATAGTGAAAATCAAATGATTAAAGGTGTAACGATTAAAGGTTCAATAGTGTTGTCACGTACCAAAATTTCAGTAGTCGGTACCAATACAAGTAAAATTTCACGGTTCTCGATAAATGAACTTTTTTTTTAACTATTTGAAAATAAAAACAAATAAATAAATAAATTAATTAATTAATTATTAATGCTAATAATATTTAAGTAAATAATACATACAAAGCTGAATTTTCAGCATCATTACTCCAGTCTTCAGTGTTTTTTTAATGTTTTCAAGGATGTATTTATTTGATTTATTTGAAGTACAGTAAAAACAGTAATATTGTGAAAAAGTATTACAATTTAAAATAATTGACTTCTATGTGAATATATTGTAAAATGTCATTTATTTCTGTGATCAAAGCTGAATTTTCAGCATCATTACTCCAGTCTTCAGTGTCACATGATCTTCAGAAATAATTCTAATATGCTGCTTTGCTGCTCAAGAAACATTTCTGATTATTATCAATGTTGAAAACAGCCAACTCAATATTTTTGTGGAAACTGTGATACGTTTTTTCAGGATTCTTTGATGAATAGAAAACAACAGCATTTATTTGACATTATAAATGTTTTTACTGTCACTTCTGATTAATTTAAGGCGTCCTTGCTGCATTAAAGTATTAATTTCTTCTCAAAAAAAATATAAACAAATCATACTCGCGCAAACTTTTGAACGGTAATGTATATGCAATGATAATATATGGTAATTAATTTATATAGAATTCAACTGATGTGCAGTCACAGGTATGTGTATATATGAAAGACTTCAGTGATCAGATTTCAGAGCCGTTTTATAATGAATCTTTAATAACTGGAGGCCAGACGTACCATGTGGAGCTCCAAATCCAATCATTTTGTGTGCATGTGTGTCATTAAAATATCAAGCCAAGTGCTAAATAAAACAGCTAATACTAAATACCCACAAATACAGCAACTGCTGAAAACGTTTATCTTTGTATAATGTCTCAATGTATTCACCCTAAGCTCATAAAGCATAACAGTCACAGTCTGAGCTCATCTGTAGTTCATACACAGGCACACCGACTCCGAACCGCAGCCATCGCCGCCTCCCAAATGTCACCAACATTTACCCTGATAAGGCTCATCGGAGGCATTCAATCGCGCTTATCTCCCCCAACAGACACACCGAGCTTTACAAACCCCGAGCCACTCATAAAACTAGTCATATTTTACAGTGCGCACCCTTTCTAGTGTCCACACGTCCTACCATTATATATTCACTCAGTTTAACTGCTAAGCAAAGCAATAGCATTTTTTATAGCAAAAATATTAGACTTTTTCATATCAGTACAAACATTTAAACTTTAAAAAAAAATTACATTAAAACTAAAACATTAAATAAACACAAAATTAAATTAATAACAATAAATAAATACATAAATATGTATTATTTAAAAATATATAATATTTAATCTCTGTCAATATGCTTTAATTAGATTTTA